GGTATTGCCTTTGTAGTCCAACCCTCCCCTCCAGGTCACCTGATAAGGTCCACCATTTTGTGATTCACACTCCCTGCTAGTTTTTTCAGCTTGTTGCTCCCCCTCTTTTGAAAGCATGGTGGGGGTCGGCCATTTTGCTTAGTACTCCAGGACCTAGGACCCCCGCCCCTTGTGCTAGGTCAGATGAATAAATGGTTGTCACGATGCTGGATTGTACAAATAAAGACATCATTATTTTAACCTTCAGTCGTTTTTTTTTTTTTTTTAGCGAGTGGTTCATCACTCGGGCCAGATCCACCCTTCTTTTGGTGACATTTGAATAAACGCAGACAATATTTCTTTGGTTGACAATAAATAGCTCTCCTGATAGCCTAGCTTAAGTCACTAAATGGTGAGAATAACTGATTTTAACAGATGGTCCAGAAGCCACACATCCTGTCAATGTAGCAAGAAACAGACCCCATGATGCTTCTCTGCAGTCACAATAATTAATTAGGTGACACAAGAAAGAGAGAATTTAAACTAAATGCTAATTAGTTGGAGTCCTATCAGGCTTTATTGACCTGTGAGACTCCAGAAGCAGCTGATATGTGCCGGCAGTCAAAGCGCAGGTGGCACAGAGGCCCAGGACACACTGGAGGGACTGTGTTTCTCTGCTGGCCTGGGAGCGCCTTGGGATTCCCCTGTAGGAGCTGGCCCAAGTGGCTGGGGAGAGGGATGTCTGGGTCTCCCTACTGAAGCTGGTTCCCCCGCAACCCGACCACGGATAAGAGGAAGAAGATGGATGGATGGATGGATAACTAGTCGTTTGATCTGGACAGCTAAATCAGCTCCAAGGTTGCTTCATGTGGTCATCAACACCAGATCTGTGTTCTGACCTCTTATAGTCATCCTCATACTTCTGTATATTAAAGGAAACATCTGGGTTATAGTTCTGTCAGAAGAGCAGCTAGCTTTGTGTGGCCAAAGATCTTGCTAAACGGTTGATTACCCTGTTCTCATAGTTCCTGGGCTCTACCTAGAAGTTGCTTGTTCCTGACTCCATCATAGACCAGAACGCAACCCTGTTTCCTTCCCCTCTTTGTTAACTGACATAACAAAGTCATAATAAATTAATCCAATATAAACAATTGTTTAGTTGCGTTTTTCTACCTCCCTGTTCTTTAGCAACCAAATTCAGAAATGTGACACCACACCATTTTAATATCCTCTGTAAATAAAAAGATGACTTTATTAAATGAATTATACAGTCTCCGAATTTGACAACAACACATCCTGATACATTTGAGTAAAAACCCTCAACTACTGAATAAATTCTACAAACTTATATTCAGGCTATTCTATGTCATTGGACAAATAATTGCGAGATAGATTAAGATTTATCAGTCATGGCAAAAGCAAATGATAAATCATGACAGTGAAATCTCCTTTTAAAGGAAAAGTCCGGTCAGTAAGGAATAATCAATGGATCATTATTTATACCTAAAACTAATACATTCGCAGTGATTTAATGAATTTAGAGTTAATCAGTAAAAAACTAAAAACAAACATTTTTGTCACAACCAATGAGTCTGTCAGCGGCCATTTTTGCACAAACATAGTAACCCCTCCCTCCTGCCATCTTCAGGCAGTGACGTCACGGTGCGGTAAGCCTAGCGCCATTCTCCCCGCTTTACAAGCAAAATCAGTGGGAACTACTAGACACATCTGCAATCAACAAACATTAATTGAAGGTTTGGATTGCCAACTTGGAGAGG